CACACACACACACACACACACACACACACACACACACACACACTGAGTCCCCTGTGGTTCAAGCCGGCCTTGTGTCATTATCATCCACTGGATTGTGCGTGGTCTCTGTTCATTCAGTGTTACTGACGAGCTTTTTGTGCTCAGTAATTCTTCCCACAGCAACACCACCCCCACCCCCCATCCCTCTCCCTCCAGTTCTCTTAAAGTCTGTCCAACCCTCTGTCTGCCTGCAGCCCATATGTAACCCTTCCCCCCAGCCTGCACCCCCATTTCTGCCCCGTCTGGCTCTGCGCTTCTCCAAAACAAACCAGCTGTCCTAGCCGGCCGTGTCCCTCGGGGTGTAAACAGGTGTCGGGAGGGCCGCGGGGCCTTAACACACGACACAGGGCTGCACGCTCTCCTCCAGGCTGCTCCTCCAACCTGCCAGCAGACGGAGAGAGGTCTGGGGAGAAAAGAAATATATACGACAGATGAGGGGCTTTTAATCATTCATGGTGCATAAATTCCTATTTTTGAAGTCTCAGCGGGTAAAAGTTTCATCCAAACTGTTATGAAACTATGACAAAAAAAAAAACCCACGTCTGGTAGTTTGCTGATGTGATTGATCAAACACAGCAACATTTTTAAAAGCACTGATGTGGAGAGGAGTTTAACTCAGGATTGTTCAATTCTGCTCAAGAAGAAAGAACTCCACTTGCAGACAAAAATATACACGGCTGCGTAACCAAAATAGATGAAAGGAAAGCCGTTTGTCCTGCTGCCTGGAGTATTTTTAGCACAAACTACACTCTGTGTGCTGTGAGGAGGGACTGCTGGACACAAGTCAGTGCTCCTGTAGGCACATGCCAAAACCACAAGGCCCATGCCACCATTCTAATATGGCTATAAACTGTGGAGGCACTGACTGAAGCTTTGCAGGTAAACACCATCCAGACATCAGACCATCAGTGTCACGGTGTGAAACGTCTTTTCTGAGTTATTTTTTACTAAAAACAACGACAAAAGGTTAAATGGAAACAACTGCCAGCTTCTTTGCGCAGCACATTTACAGCTCTTTCGAAGCTGTGCTAATGAGACGCCCACCTTCAACAATAAATCTGCTTCTGGAGCCCGAAGAACAAAAGCAGCTTCACACACACCAAACTTTTCCACTATCTCTCCCAGTGATGAGCTCAGCTCCGCACTGCACACTCTATCTGGCACTTGACTCTTTGACACGCAGTGTGTGTGAAGGAGGGGGTGTTTCTGCATGTGAGTGTGTGTGCGTGGGCAGGTTTTTGCTACACCGTGGGAACCATTTTCCAGAAAAAAGGCAGGCTCGTGGGGACTGAATGCTCATCATTGGGACCAATGCTTGGTCCCCACGGGCATGGATACTAATTTTGGATGGGGCGGGAGGGGTGGGGGGTGTTTTAGGATTAAGGTGTGAATTGAGTTTAGGTTAGTTTTAGTGTCAGGTAAGTAGCTGTGAGTTTAATTTTAGGGTAAATGGTCAGGGTCAGGCTGTAAAATTACCAGAAAATGAATGGAAGTCAATCCACGGTCCCCACGGGGATATCAAAACAAACCTGTGCGTGTGTGTGTGATCCTGGCTGTGGCTGTAATTTAGAGTCTGAACCAAGCCATAAACGAAATTGCCACCTTGTTGAGCCTATATGTGTCTAACAGGCGGAGGCAAGTGAGTGTGCAGTGACTTTTATCACCTTCTAACTTGCAGCAGCTCCTCTGTGCTGTTCACTCAGGAAAATAAACAACAACGACAACAACAACAGGAAATTTCTGGAAAAACCCGTGTTGCTGATGGTAATCTCAGACTTGCGGTGTTTATACAGCAAACACTTGCAGAACTTTTATGTAACAACAGTTGAGTTGTTGCCAAGTACAGGAGGAGATTTACTTTACATTTCTGAAGATGTGGCTGAAAACCTTTGTAATAATCTGATTTGAACCAAAGGAAGGTGCATTCTGGTGAATGTAAGTAAAAATTGTAAAGGGAATTGAGATCAAAATAAATAATGCTGCTACCAGCAGCACATCAAATTTGCCATTTATTTCGTCGGTCACTCCCTGATTTCACTCCTGRCACAGGCCGAAAGAAAAACAGTCTCAAACAGTCGCTGTGCACAAACTACAAGTTGTATCTTTAATCGTTTTAACCCTGAGCAGCAGACGACTCTGGTGGGCACATAAGTGGATTTTTWTTTTTTTGCTTCAGTGTTTCATTTAGAAGATGTGACAAGTTAAAAAAAGAATTCACTTCCAGTTTTTAAGAGAAAATTTTGAGCTAAAATGCAAGTCTGGCTCCGACTCTGGCTCCAACAGGACAAGTTTTCCCTTGTTGATATCTTTTAATTCATTTATAAATAAAAAATAAAGTTTCTACTTCACTTTATATTTGTAAACCCCTCCATCAAACTAGAATGGGCTGTTCTGGAAGCTGGAGGTGTGAAGCGCCTTCTTTGGAGTTAAAGAGACAGCCTCAAAACGAGTTGATCTGAAACACTCCTCAGAAAAGTGATGAAACAGGGGTACGTAGAGGAGGAATTCAAAGCACTGCAGTTCCTCTTTATAGACCCCAGCTGAGCGATTTAAATGTTAAACTCCAACTTTGACCCATTTAAATGATTCCGAGAAATGAGCAAAAGCTTCAAGGTGCTGGGATTTCACACTTGTTTTGAAAAAAAAATCTGTTGTTATGGATTGAGAACCTGTTCTCTTTATTAAGTGAAGAAACAAGCTCTTTACTAAGTTCTAAAAGTAAAAGCAAAGGCACTTAAAGAAAATACACTTAAAATAAGAATTAAAACAGATTCCAAAACAGCTATAAGTAGAAAACTCTTTTGATGAAAGAAATAGTGTAAACAGACAAGAGAACCTTAAAACCAGATTGTGGAGAGACATAAAGACACAAAATTACTGTGAAAGCATGCAAAGTCATAAAATGTAAAACCTAAACTTTATTACAGTGTGTGTGGTCGTGTGTATGTGTGGGAAACCAAAGTAGTAGCCATCTTTGAACTATAATTAAGCCTATAGATAAACTCAGAGTCTAATTTGAGGACAAGTTTCCAAAAAAAAATAAAAAAAATAAAAATAAACCTTATGCTTACATATGCTTTTTTCCCCCTTCACTGTATTTTCTAAGCGCATTAAGATGCGATGAAAAGTTTAATCATGATGTTGCACAAGGGAGTGATCTGTGTGCGTGATTGCGAGCCACGTGCACGTACATGAACGTGAGGAGTAAAAGGCTGAGGATTGTGCAACATCAGCACAGCCCATTTGGCCAGCTGCTCCGGACCGGCTGCCGGACTGCCCAGGGGTCTGCTGTGAGCAGCCTGAAGCCCTGAATGGAGAGTCTGAGCAGCAGTTCCTGCATTTGCATTTGATGCAGACTTCAAGCAGCAGACTTCAGTCGACGGACCACAGCACCGCGGATGCGTTGGAACTTGACAAAAACTTTGAAGCTTGAAGATTAAAATACTAAAATTAAACGCTCTGCTAAATCGCTGCTCTTTTATGTTTAATGTTCTAGTTATAGACGTGGTTTGGGTTTGATTTAAGTTATATTTTTTCATTGAAACGACCACGGTTTTGAGAAGTGTAGGCGGAACTACTTTTGTTGGCGAAGTAGCACAAAAAATCCAGCGCGCGACACACACCGACTACCGGTGCACAGTCCGCCGTTTAGCTCCGAGTTAGGGCGACAAAACTGAGGAGTTTGACCCTGAGATGCTCCTGCGTAGCTTTAAATAAACAACATTAATCGGTGTCTAACTAAATAACGCTCTCATCCTCGCTGCCAGGACCGTTTAAAGGCGGCTGTTTTTTTCTATTTCGTCCAAAAGAAGAGAACACACAGAGGACTTTTCGACGCTCCCGGACGGACTTGACCGAACTCAAAAAAAAAAAAGATGTCAATTTTGCCTTTCACTCCCCCCATTGTCAAGAGACTTTTGGGCTGGAAGAAAGGCGAGCAGAACGGGCAGGAGGAGAAGTGGTGCGAGAAGGCGGTAAAAAGTCTGGTGAAGAAGCTGAAGAAGACGGGACAGCTGGACGAACTGGAGAAAGCCATCACCACCCAGAATGCCAACACGAAATGCATCACCATACCGAGGTAAGCACACGGCTCGGAGGTCCGCATCCTAAATACGCTTCCACTTCAAACATTGTGTTTGTATTCACCGCTTTGACATGTAAAATTAAACCCTACATCTACCTCTACGTGTTGCACCTGAACGCATCATCACTTAGAGAAGTTTCCAGCTCTTTTCTTTTGCGTCGATATTGCAAAACTGTGATTTCCTTTTTGTTTGTTTACCATACATCAACACGGAGGCTAATGCTTGGACCAGCTAACAGCTAATCATGGCTCAAATATCTATTAGTCTGTGAGCTACTGACGTCATATATTATTACAATGTACTTAAAGTGAATTGAAGCAATTCCCAGACTCAAATAATGTTGCCAAAACAGGTTTTAAGCTGTGCATAACTAGCCAATAGCGCGCATGCATTGCAAAAGCACTAATGTAGTCCAAGTTATATAACCTGGCCTTAATCTGGGACGCTTTCTAGCGTTGTTTGTGCGTAGGCGACTCGGTTCTTTCACTCCTGTGTCTCTCCAGCTGTTTGTTTATTTATCATTGCATCGTTTCTGAACAAACAACCTGYCATCAAATTACTGCTGGTGGTTCTGTAACATCCTGACACTTGTAATATAATCTCTTTCCCATGATGGAGAGCTGTCCCAGGCCCGATGCGCTGCAAACATAAACATTTAATTAAAATACATTTGGTGGGGATATTTCAGGGTTTTAGCAGATACTGTCTTATAGTAAAATGAAAAGTTGTGCACAAACAGTTCTGATCTGGACTAATCTGCAAAACGATAATGTGTAAATAAATAAATAAGAAAGGCCAGGCAGGGTGCAACCAGTGTAAAAGAAATGCATCAAGTTAGTTACTTTTCTGTGATACAGTATATGTACAGATTAAACAAATGCATCTTGTCATAAGTGCATATAAGCAAAATGATAATGAACTATTTTTAAAGCAAAATTTGTCATCTCCATTATTAAAAGACTTGGAGCAAAGGTTTTGTAGCGTTTAACAGGACGACTTAAATCGTGCRTTTAGCAGCACAGTGTAGATATGATTGACTATGGAAATGATGGATGTGATTTTAAACTGCTTTTGCGATTCGGTCCAAGCAGTTGCTTGATTTATTGTAAAAAAAAAATGCGCAAACCTCATTAATCAAAGAGAACATTAACTGCAGCTGTAAATCAAAGTAATCAAACCAACAAAAACTGCTGTCAGCTATTCTGTTGCCTCATGAAAATGGTAATAAATCGGATTGAGCACTTTTCTGTAACATTTGTAAGAAGCAGACGTGTTTAATTCAGCTGCTGTTCTGGCTAAATCTTGACAGCAGGATCTTATTCTCTGTAAAGTCTGCAAAATACATGCATTTTGTCATTAGAGGTAATACAAAAGCCCGACGCCTGCTTTCATCTACAGAAGAATAAAAAAAATGYTCAGCATGTGTGTACCATTCAGATTTAACAGCACACTGTGTCAGATGAAATTTAAATCCCTGACAGGGCACTCCCACATTCTCAGTTGCCACAAGCGTGCATATCCCAGCTACCACGAGCCCGTGCCAGCGTTCAGAGCCGGGCCTACCTAAAAAGATAAATAATGTCTGCTGTGATCAAGGTTTTATGTTTCCTCTGTGCTAATGTGGAGAGGAAGAGGCAGAGTGCATTAAGATGACCCCAGATCAGATCCGTCCATCGGTGTGGTCCAACAGTGTCCCTGGAGAGATGCTGTTTCTATTAATTCCCCCCAAGCTCTGGCTGGCTGACAGCAGCTGCCTGCGTGTTCTGGCCTGTCCATGGGGAGGTCAGCTCCTATATCTCTGACACATGAACTTTCTGCTGGGGGCTCAGGGGGTCACGACTGCTGCTGCTCTGGATGATGGTTTGCACTGATGCTGAGCGCTGAAGGAAGTCAGCGCTGCATATTGATCGGGTCAATAGCTGCATCAGGTTGTGGACTGGAGCGGGCCGTATCATGTAGCAGTTTAGAGTAGAGTTATTGTGGGAAACAAAGTCTTAAAGGGACAAAACCCTAAAGATGACAGTGAAATTTTATGAAGATGTGCAACATTTATCAAGTTTAATGTGAGCTTAGAAGTGCTCAGTCCTGCTATAGTATCATAATATGATCRGTTTGGTTCAGAGAGCTTTTTTTGGGTGTGGTTCTGGTGTGAGTGTTTTTACTGTACAGACATATATAAGAGGTAAAGCCCCATCCTAAAAAAAAACATCACTCAGTCTTTTTGGGTTCCCATTCGAAGCTGGTCCCATGTATCTGGTTTTGACTCATGCTTGGGTAGGGCAGTTGCTTTACTTGCTTATCAAGTCATTATGGTTTTGGACTATACCGTAAGCCTTTTTACTTTTTAAAGAACGTAATAGGAAAAAAAAAGTGAAAACTGAAGCTCCTTCCCAACTTCAAATCTTAGTCACTCAACAACAGGCAATTTTGGTATTGTGGTGTTGACCTGCTCTTCCTTATCCCTTCCTCTGTTTGGCTTTTTGAAATGCTTTCTTCCTCTAGGCTGTAAACTTTGGTTAGTAACAAACATTGATTTATGCAGTGTGTGTGCCCATAGAAACCCACTATGGTTTAGGGGTGTGTGTGTGTGCGTGATGTGTGGAAGCCTGAAATGTTGAGCGTGACACAATGACTAACTTTTTTTTCTTTTCTGCTGTTTAATTGACATCTTCATTTAAAAACAGAAGCCAAGACTGCTTTTTCTTAAGAAACCTGAAGCAAAGTGGAAAACAGGCAAAAAGTCAAAATAAGAAAATTGTCTGATTTGACATTAAAGACTTCTATGTGGTTTTGTTTGTTTATTTTATCAATAATCATCAGTGTTTCCTAAGTTTAATCAACATGATGAGAGTGTTTCATCTTAGGGAAGCATTTTTAATGAAGACAACATTATTTAATGTGTGATTTAAAGGGACCAAACTTCAAGATCACCATGTTAGCAAAAATAATAATTTGGTTATTTAAATGAAAAGAGGCTTACCAACCTCTGAGTTGATGAACTTTTTGAATGTTTTACATAAATAAGGAAACTGGATTTGAATTGTTTTCAGAATAATTTTAATTTAAGTTCTCAAATCCCTGAATTCTCAAAATTGATCTAAACACGTTTTCCTCAATTAACCATTGAAAATAATGATACATCGTGTTTCAGAGGATAAAACCAGCATATTTAAGATCTTGGTTCATTGCTGTTATCTAGGTTTAATTTAATCATCTGTCACACTGCTTGTGTAACTTTTGTGACTTCTAATGGATTTTAGTCATTGATAAGTCTATTGGTCTGCAGCTTTTCACATTAGTGTTAGTCATACATGTGAAGTGGTTTTTTTTTTCTTCAAATCCGTCTGCAGTAATCTTGTCACATTTTACTAGAGGTGACCTTTTTTATTGCGTACAAAAGTCAAAAAAAATCCTCTGTTTGTCGATCATGACTTGGTGCAAAAAAGAGGATGTTCTGGTAACAATTTCTCAAATTTATCTTTGTGGTAATTCATAAATRGTTTGTGATGCATTTATGTGGTATGTGAGTGTTGTGTCAGTTCACAGAGCCTGTGGGAGTGGATTTCTACCTGAACTTACGCTGGGTTTWGGCCAGGGTTTTTATTGTGTTTGTTTTGTGTACACACATCCATCTTGGCAACAAGTCTGATTCACACTTCTGCATGTCAGGACATGGAGAAGGAATAAACTGAGGAAAAACTCAGATAAAATATGATCAAAGATTTAGAGTAAATCTGTGCTTGACGGAGAGGAAGGAAGGTAGGAGGACTGAAAGAACACCATGTTCAGTGTTTTAGGAAAAAAATGTTTGTAACACTGCTGAGAACACTGTGGAGGTTTGAAGATACATTTGGATGTTTTTTTTCTTCTTTTAAGTCTCTCATCACTCAGAGTAATCAAGTTTTAACTTTCATGTTTATTATCACCAGCCACAGAAAAGTGTGCAATAATAAAAGCAGACTGTGTGTATTTTTGTGGTGTTGGCCAAATTTCCCAAGAACCACTAGATGGACTTGAATAAAACTCTCGGAAAGTAATCATTCGATGTACATCTGGAGTCAGTCCAGTTCAAGATGTCCGCCACAGCAAATGAACATCACCATAGCTCAGCCAGTATTACAGATATTGCGGTAAAACTTGGTGTTGTAGTAAAAGAAATCCATTCCCAGCACATACTCTGAACGCAACAAAGAGGTCAAGATTTTTATTTAAATTTTTGGCTTTACATACTGGAGTCAACCCCAGTTGTCTGTTAGCAAAATCTCCCATAAACCTCTGAACAAGTTTGAGTAAAACTTTCAGAAAATTGACTTGATTTGACCAAAAAGGCTAAAACTCTGTCCCTTTTCATTATAAGATGAAGCATGAAATGTATTCCTTCAGAGTATGCTAGCTCTTTAATTTTCAAAAGCTTTGATTTTTATTCATTAGTGGAATGAGAGAAATGTTCAGTCAATTACAGAGGATGTAGAAAACTGAAGAGCGTTTGGGGATTCCCAGTGTTGTGTTTGATCCCGGAGAGGGCTTTGTCATTATACTCGGGGAAAGTCCTTTAATGAATTAAAATGAGACATTTATGGTCAATAAATGAAGACAAAAGGGGTTAATGGAAAGAACTTGTGAGAAAAAGAGTTGAAAGATGAGTATAAAAGAGACAGGTAACCTAGAAAGCTAAGGGTTCAGATCAAGGAGAAAAAGGAAAGCAGACTTTTTTTTTTTTGGCAAGAGGCAGAGTCATGGAATCTCAAGCTTATCAGTGAGAGAYTGTGGTCAGTGTGGTTTGCGTGCAGAAAGGAAATTAAGATGTAATAGCTGAGATAGAACTGGTTTGTCTTCAGCTAGACAGCCGGTCAACATGAAAAGAAGCGTGTCTGCTTCTGTCTGGGTAACTATATTTAAATACACACACACACACACACACACACACACACAATGCAGCTATTGAAAAGAGGAGACACTGCATATACAGTACCTGCACTGCTTCATACTCCAA